GCTGGGTTCATCACTGTGGTAGCTACCGTAGTCACACCGAGGGCCCTGCACAAAAAGCCCCTGAGTGTGGCCAGAGGCCTTTCCCACACAGGCCCTGGTCCAGACGTCTGGGGCCCCCATTGACAGTGGTGCTGCGTCCTGGGGATCTCAGGCCTTTCTGAATCTGCTCCGCCTGCCATAGAGGGCAGGAGGGTCTGACTCACCCTGCTGGGCTCCTGTCCCCTCCAGGAGGGGCTGAGGTGACATCCGGCCAGAGGGTGTGCAGGAGTCAGGCCTCCTGGAGTTTGAGCCCTGGGGCAGGTGCAGGGGGTGGGACACCTTTTAGGGGCTGGGAAGGGCTGGGCTGTGGGGCTGTCCCCATGGGCCATCTTGTGTTCTTGGGGCCGTCCCGATCCAGATGTGGGTTCCCACTGTGATGCCACCGAGGACTGTCCTGGAAGAGGGTGGCCACTGGGGAGAGAGACAGGGATTTCTGGAAGGTTCTTTGTCTCTGGGAGAGGTGAGTCCTCTGTTGGCTTCCTCGGTGAGATCTGGAAATCAGCAGGACTCAGGACAGTAGGGCAGGATGAGCGACGCCCAGCTCTGGCTGTCCCCGAAATGTCTTCTGTCTTAGAAAAGACCCAGGAGAGGCTCAGGTGTCAGGGACACGCAGTCCAGGGACCAAAATACAGTGCACAGGGCCAGCCCCGCCCTCCTGGTGCCCCTACTCTGACATGGGGTGCTCTCAGGGTCCACACATGTGGCCCAGCTTTAAGGGAGGGGCTTCCGGGACTGCCGGCCAGACAGAAGCAGATGGTGCTGTGGGGCTGGCCCTGTTCCCATCTGGACTGGGGTTGGAGGGCAGCAGCGATGCCGACACATTGGAGTCAGGTCTGGCTGACCTGTGGGATGATCCTGGCCATCTGTTTCATGGTCTCTATGGCTGGCAGGCAGGATCTCAGGGTGGTCACTTGTGGGCCTGTCCATCGTGCCTGCCGCCCTGTGTGTTTGGGTCACGGGCTGCACTGCCGTGGTGGCCACCACACCCATGGTGCTGTGTCCTTGATCAAAATCCTAACATGGCACGCGGCGGACCCCCGCGGGGAGGGCTGTGGCGGGAGGCTCCCAGGGATGGGTTTTTGATGGACTCTGTGACACTGTGGGTATAATAACCAGTCAAAATATTGTAATACCACAGTGACACAGACCTCACTTCAAACCTACTGCCAGGCCTGAGAAACCTATGATGTCTAGAGCTGACCTGAGGAGGCAGCAAGGCCCTGAGGGGGAGGCTGTGGGCCCAGTGCTCTCAGGTCTGCTGCGGGGACACTCAGGTCTGCCCCTTGCTTAGGTGGACAGTGACCGTGCCCACCTGTGTCCTGAGGCTCCACTTCAGGCTGGTATCTGTCTGTACTGTCCCTACTCGCCCCATGGCCATGTCCTTTTGGTTGTATAAATTGCCTCCAAATCACGCAGGCATCATTCTGGGGCTTTTTATATTCCCAGGACCACCAGGTGCCTCCACCCAGAAAGGTGAGATGTGGGAGAGTTCCAAAGACATTCCCCAAGCCCGGATGGGCCCCTGCAGCCTCAGTGCTACTCAGGTTCCAGCAAGACCTGGAGGAGGTGCAGTTGAGGCCCGAGGCCAGATGAAGCCCAGGCCAGATGAAGTCCAGGCCAGGTGAGGTCCAGGCCAGGTGAGGCCCAGGTCAGGGGAGGCCCAGATCATGTGAGCTCGGGACAGGTGAGGTCCCAGTCAGGTGAGGCTGAGGTCAGGTGAAGCCTATAGGTGAGGTCCAGGCCAGGTGAGGCCCAGGCCAGGTGAGGTCCAGGTCAAGTGAGGTCCGGGTTAGGTGAGGCTGAGGTGGATGTATGAGACTTCTGTAATTTTCAGTGAGTGCCAACCCTGCCTGGTGTCCCTGCTCCTCCTTCCAGCGCCTGCTCTGTGCCTGCCAGATGGTGCCCCCTGCCTGCATAGGTGGTGCTGGCTGTGGAGGAGCTGGGCTCTGCCTCCCTGTGCATGAGTGTCCCTCTCGGGCTCTGGCCTGGGAGTGTCGCTGAGCTGCTTGTCTCCAGAATGCACTGACTGTGCCGTCCTCGGCGGTATACGTCCTCTGGGGGATATGGCTCTGTGCTTGCTCCATGTCAGGCCCCAGGAGCTGCCAGCAGGTAACGGGCTGCCCTGCCACATGGTGAGCCTGCAGCCTGTCCAGGGATGCCCAGGGAGGTGAGTGCTACCACACATCAGGCCTTTTATCTTTAAAGTCGTTTCTTCAGGGATGCATCATAGATGTCTCATATTAAATATATGTCTGTATCATTGTGCAATTGCCTGTGTCATCATTTTATTTATCCCACCTGGGTTAATGTCCTTGCTATTGTGAACAGTGCCGGAGTGAGAATTTTCTAAACACAGCTGTGTGCATTTTCCTCTTCTTGCGATTTAGAAGTTTAACTGCTGTTTTCAAGGTACTGTAATGTGTTTGTTCTGTTCTTGTTAGGAGACTTGCCAACCCTGTGCGTCTCAGTTCATACCCTCTTCCTTCCCCAGTAGAAGTAACCACAACTGTGTTTATGTGATCTTCATTTTCTTGATTTTCCTTGTAGTTTTTCTAGTGGAAAGTTTATCAGTTAAGAAGATAGTTCCTTGTGCCATGTGTAAATTTTATTTAGAAGAAATCATAGTGAAAGTATTTTTTGGAGTTTCTGTTGTTACTCCAATTACTCAGTATTGTCATGAACTCATCTGCAGAGTTGCCTGCAACCTCTATTGTTGTCCTCGTGGCTGTCTGGGTTCGCATTGCATGAACCTGCCATCGTTTATTTGCCTGTTTTCCTTCAGGTGGACGTTTGCTTCGTTCTCAGTTTGAGGCTATGACAAACAGATGTTCTGCACGTCTTTGCCCATGAGGCTCTCAGGGAGGGCTCTAGGGCTGGCATTGTCTGTAGGGTTCTGCTTTGTCACAGGGAGTTCCTGCCAGTGCTTTTCAGAGTGTGTGTGCCCAGCAGCAATGCCTGAAGGTGCCCACTGAACTTTGCTCTTGCATCAGGCACTTTCTGTGTGCTTGCTTCTGTGCTGCTCCACATTCAGGAGAATTTATTCAGATCTGTGCTGCAAATCCATCTTGCTGATTTTCTCTTTAGCTGTGTCTACACCGGCTGTTAAGCATCCCATGATGCAGCAGTGTGGGCACAGGGCAAACTTTCGAATGATGACAGTGTAGGATAGCGGCTGCTCCTCCTTCCCTCTGCCCTTCCCACACACTGTCCTCCTGGGCTCACTCCCAGCTATTGATCCCAAACACCAGTTTATGGAACTCTCTGCACAGGAAAGCAGAAACAGCAAAGGGCCCTGCTCAGGCTCTGCCTGCATCCCCTCTTTCATACCTGCTAAAGCTGTTTCCCTGGGGCCTGTGCCAGCTTCCCAGCTGCCTCTCATTTTCTGTTTACTCTGCTTGCTGCCTGGTGCGGATGATATATGGGGAGGAGTCTGGTGTGTTTTGGGTGTTCATGGACACCCCTAGGCCCTACTTCTCAGATGCTCCCCCAGCCCCTCAGCCCCAGAAGTGGGAGCGTTTACAGCAGGATTTTGGGACTGGGGCTGTGTCACTGTGGGCATAGCAAGTAGTACTAGTACAATATCCTCACAGTGACACGAGCCCCCACAAAATCCTCCTGTCCCTGCGGGTGTCACCGAGTCCCGTCTTGCTGTCTCTGGCCGGCTCTCCTGCTGAGACTGTGATTTCCAGGGGGTTTTTGTCTGAAACTCAGGGTGCCTTGGAGAGGACTCTGAGCCCAGTGCTGTACAGGGGGCTCTTCCTTTGTCCTGGGGGAGTTGTGTGGACCCTGTTTTTGGTCAAGGGAAGCGCTTGCTGGTGGAGGAGACCTTCCCTCCTCTCTCTCTCGGAAACCCCCTCTGATGGTGTTGCCTGGTGTTTCTCAGGGCTGGTTCTGGGGGCTCGGCAGTGTCTGCCCTGTTCCAGTTGGGACTGTGGGTCTGTTCTGTTTCCACGGGGTGTTGTGGGGCCACCAGTGAGGGGCTTGGGACGTCAGCGGCTGGTCTCTGTCCCTACGGTCTGGGCTTGGGCTCACAGCTCCCCTGCCCTCCAGGTCGGTCACTGACTCAGTTACTATCCAGCGGCCTCCATGACTGTTCTGTGGTGGCTGCAGGTCTCTTCCCAGGAGAGGCCTGTGAGAGGACCGGGATGTCTGGGAGCCGTGCATTCTCCCGTGATGTTGCTGCCTGGATCCCTCGTCTTTGAAGGGAGAGCCGAGCCTCCCTGGAGGTGCGGGCGGTGACAGACACAGGTGGACGTGCATCAGGGCGCTGGAGGCCGATTTGTTTCAGTGCCTTCTGCCTGTGGAAGGGCTGAGCTCCCTGCTTCTGTGCACAGGAGGCTGCCCTGTAAATGGGCAGTGAGGGCAAGGGCCCAGGCCTGCATGGCAAAGACTTGGGTGCGCCTTTGTCCTGGAAATACAACAGCTGGCCCTGAGAGGGGAGCAGGGCCCGAGTGGCCGGAGGAAGGTGAGGGCATGGGCAGTGTGTGGGTGGGAGTGCAGGGTCAGTGCCATGGCTCAGGGGCTCCAGGAGATGAAGAGCTTCAGTTGTGGACAGGAGAGGGCATGGGATGGGCACAGGCGGGAGAAACTGAGGCTCTGCAGCAGAAGAGGGAAGGTCCTGCAGGTGCAGGGTTGGCCTGGTGGGGGTGTCTGGAGGGAGGGACAGGGGTCTGGGTGGAGACCAGGGTGGGGATTACAGGGACAGGACCCCAGGGTTGTCTGTGTGGGTGGCAAGAGCAGCGGGGGAGAAAGGGCTGGGGGCAGGGTCGGGTCTCCCCAGGGTGTGGGCTGCAGGGAGGGGCTGCACCAGGTGTGGGCTGCAGGGTTGGGTCTCCCCAGGGTGTGGGCTGCAGGGAGGGGCTGCACCAGGTGTGGGCTGCAGGGTCAGTCTCCGGTCTCCCCAGGGTGTGGGCTGCAGGGAGGGGCTGCACAGGGTGTGGGCTGCAGGGAGGGGCTGCACAGGCTGTTCCCCTGAAGGAGGGAGGAGGGAGGGAGCACAGAGATGCTGGGAGCGAATTGGGAGGGAAATGGCAGCGACGCGAGTGCCAGATGGTCCCGGTTTGGGGTTGATCTGCGGGGTGCAGCTCCCTGGCCCGTGTGTAAGTGGCCAGGGGAGGCACGGAGTCTGGGGCTATAAGTTGTGGCAGGAAGGCAGGTCCCGGTTTTGGGGATCTGGAGCTTATCTTTTTCCTGTGAGCTGGGTGTGGGTGGCACCTATGGGTGGTGCCCTGGACCTGTGGTCTGGTGGAGCCCAGGCCTCCCAGGGACATCAGGGCAGCCAGGGCTAGAGGAGCCTGAGGGGCCAGGTCAGGGTGGACCTGAGCCACTGCCTCCACCTGTGACCAGCACTGCTGCGGGGATCTGGGCATGAGACCCCTTCACCCAGGAGGGGAGGCACGTGAGTGAGACCCTAATTCCATACCCCATGGGGGGCTCTGACCCTCCTGCAGAGGACCTCGACAGGGCTGGGTGGCTGTGTGCAGGTGGTGGATGGGGAGCCCAGACCCTCCCAGACACAGCCTGCTCTGCTCCAGAATGTGGGCTTGGACCCTGCAGGCTGCCTGGGCCTGGGCTGCCTGGGGTGCCTGTGGTGGCTGCATTCCCACGGCCAGGACTGAGGTCCAGTGGGGACCGGGGAGGAGTCTGGAGGCGGCTCCGTGGAGGACCTGCCTTGGATGACACCTCTATCTTGGGAAGGACATGGGGTCCAGCTGGGAGGAAGGGGAGGAGGCCACCTGGGGGTCTTCCACCCCCACCACCGCAGCCTGGGGGCTCTGTGCTTGGCAACCTGCCAGAAGTTCCTCCCTGCCCAGACCCCAGAGTCTGCTGCACCAGGGCAGGGAGGAAGGGCCTGTGGCCTGGTCGAGGTTGGGGCCACAGTGGTGTTCCCTAGGCCCGAGTCTGCTTCATGTGCTCGCCCCGCAGCAGGCCCTGAGTGAGGGACAGAGACAGGGGCGGGGTCTTTGGTCCTGGTGGCCTCTGGGGCGGATTCCAGTGGGGAGTCATCGGGGTTGGGGTCCCCCAGGGTACTGGGGTGAATGAGCTCCTGGAGTCGGCTCTGGATGTGGGGTTTGTGCCTGTGCTGCCTGGGGTTGATGTTGGGAGGTGCCGGTGACCCCTGTTTCCCTGAGGGACTGTTGGTGGTGGTAGGACCCAGTTCTGGCCAGGGGCACTGGGGCCAGGGCAGTAGGATGGGGTCCAGCCCCTTCCCTGACCCCCCGGAGCCCCGGTCCCCATGCTCACCGTTCAGTGGGGACTGTGTTGTGCTCCGGGTGCCGGGGGTCATGCGAGCTGGGTAGGACCCAGGTTCAGGTGGCTGCTCCCCTCTCTGGCTGGGCCTCCGGCAGTGGCCACGGGACAGTTTTGGACACAGCTTTTCTCATAGTGGTTGTTCCAGCTATACCCACCGTGACTCGGGGCCGTTCAGAGTCCAACCAGGCTCCTTGAGCTCTGGGCCTCCGGGGTGGGGGCTGGGCTGCTGGGCGGGGTCTCCTTCGGGGGCTCTGAGGCTGTGGCTCGTTTTAGGTGTGGGGTGACGAATGGGAGCCCAGCTAGCCGAACACCCACGGAGACCGGGGCCTGCACACATTCTGCCCTGGTGTATGGGTGTCCCAGGCCCCTCTGGGCAGGTCGGCCTCAGCGGGGAGGGTGGTTGGGTCCTGCTTGTTTTCCTTTGGGTTAATGGGATTCATCTCCTGGCCGCAGACCCCCTTAGGCTGCCCCTGTCCCTCCAGCAATGCAAGACATGGCAGGTCACCCTGGAGGGAGGCATGTTCTGCCCTGGGTGTCGGGTGTGGCACCTCAGATCCTCCTGCGTGCTCTGGGTTGAGCAGGATGGCAGACGACCCAGGGCCCCCACCCTGTCTGAGGACATTTTTGCTGCAGCAACTGTGGGAGCTGACAGTGTTCACGGCCACGCCACGGTCATCATCGTAGTCAAGGCTTTCTAAGAATTTCATTGTGACAAAGCCTCCTATGAAATGGGGCCACGTCCTGCTTCCTGAGGGTTGCTGGTGAGTCCCGGATTTCCCGCAGAGGCGGGCGGGAGACTGTGGGGAGAGGGCCTGTGTCTTGTCTTCCTTGGGCCGTGGGACAGGATGGAGGCTGAGGGCATCTTTCCCAGGGGATCACAGAACTGCACCTCTGCTGTGGAGGGGCATCCAGCATGTGGGCCTGGGCTGTGGGGTGCAGGGCAGGAGGGGGCAGGCACGGGAGGGGTGTGGCCCAGTCATTCCTGCATTCACAATCTTTCTTGAGCTGGGCACCTGCACTAGACCCCGGCCTGGAGGGGGCGGCTTCCTAGCCTGCAACGTCCCTGTCGTCTGCTCTGGCTCTGGAGCTGGGGACAGGAGCCAGGCAGGAGGTCAGCAGCCTCCTAGGACAGTAGGAGGGCCCAGGCCAGTGCCTAGCCGACTTCCCCAGGAGAGGGGTCCCAGGGATGGGGAGATAATGATTTCTAGAAGGGTCTGTGTCTCTGAGTGTGCAAATTTGTCCAAACTGTCCACCAGGTGTGGTCAGGTAAACGCAGGCAGACTTGAGTTCAGGCAGAGGAAACTGAGTTTTGTCATTCACTCCCCACCGACTCTAGGGGAATGAGCCAAGCTCCATTATCATCTGTGCGGAAGCGACAGCCTTGTAAAGGGAGGTGGTACAGGAAGCAGGGAGAGTGCTCGGGGGCCAGTCATCAGCGAAGGGAAAAGTTGCCCAGTGCTGGTCAGTGTCCCTGGGATGGGGCCCGCTGTGTCCGCGCTGGCCACTGTTGAGGTCAGGATTCTGTCCTCCCAGAGCCTGGAGACACCGGCCCCATCTTCCCAATGGGGACATTTCAGGGAGTGGCTCTCAGGTCCCGAGAAAGACCCTCCTGGGTCACAGGAAATGCACAGACATCGGGAACGGACAGAGGAAGGACGTGCAGTTGCAGCCTTTTCAGCAGACGCCCTGAGAACCGGAGGTCGGGAGTTGGAGCAAACGATCAGTTCTGGTGCGTGGAGCTTTCTCAGACGGGTGTTGATGGGGCTGGGGTCAGCCTAGGGGTGTGCCCTGAAGCCACTGGAAGCCCTGCTGGGGTCTGGCTGTCTCTTGGTGCAGGGGGTGGAGGGAGCCCTTATGATAGAGCTCTGGGGGGCCTCGAGGAGACCATCCCTGTAGCAGCCGGGCCATGCTCTGAGGATGTGGGGCAAGGCCCCCCACTGTCTTTGAGTATAGGGTGGTGACTTCTTTGCACAGGGGTCTCACAGGGGCACAGTACAGGTGTCAGTGGGCTGCAGGGCTGGGGGACATCAGAGCCGCTCTCTGGGCTTGGCAGCCACCTCAGATGGGATCAGAAGGGGAGGCAGTGCCTGGCGCTTTCCCTCCAGGCCTCTCTCCATGGTGTCCAGGGTAGTTTCTGGAGCTTTGGTGCCAATTCCTGAGGCCAGGGTCCTACCCTTCCTGATGCCGTGATGCTTGAGGGCTCTGGAGGAAGCCCCGGCCTTGGCCACTCCTGCACTGCCTGGGCCTCTAGTCCTGCTGCGCCTTGAGGGGAACCCAGGGCCCCAGCCTTGGCCCTGTAAGGTCAGATGGGGGCTGGGCTCCAGCGTCCTGCCACTAGGTTTAGTTCCTAAATGACAGGGAGGCAGACTCTGGCTGAGCTCAGGACCTGTCCCCAGGCTCTGCACCAGAGCAGGGTCCCCCAGCAGAGGCTCTGTGGGGCTGGGCAGGGTTCCCACCTTGTGGGGAGTTCCCTGGACCTGGAGACCCAGCCCTCAGCCTCCTTGATAATGAATGATGCATCCTATGGCTGTCTTGGCCCAGACCATCAAGTGGCCTCCTCACCTACCCCTCTTCAGACAGGGCCTCGGACCTAAGGCAGGAGCCCTCCCTACCCCAGACCTCCTGCATCACAGGAAATGCACAGACATTGGGAAGGGATGGAGAAGGATGTCATCATTGGCCTGAGTGGTGGGATGAGCTAGAAATAGTTCTTAATTCCTGGTGTAAGTTGTTCTTCAATGAGATGGACAGAATTTGGCTTTCTAGGGTGTCATTTATAACATTTGGCTCTTTACCGAAACGCAAGTTAACCCATGTTTTACTCTGGGAACTGTGGAGTGTGATTCCTTTAATGGACTTTTCCATGTTCCTCCAAATCCTGGAGCAATTCTTATGGGAGCTGATTAGTTTTCTGAAAGTCTAAACTTCACCCATAAAGCCATCTTGGCCTGAAGTCATCCGTGAGGACAATTATTTAATAATCTTAATGCTTCCTTGAGGATTATTGTTCCAATTATGATTTCCTTTTCTTCTTGAGTCAGTTTTAAGTTTTATTGCTAGAAAAGAAAAATGCCAACTTGCCATCATCTCTGCTGTCATTATTTTGTGCCCAACGATTGCCTTCTGTGTCTGCTGTGTCTTCCCCAGCACAGGAGGTATACTGTCATTAAGAAAGCAATGTATCCAGATCATTCAGAATCTATGCCTGCCACAGGGAGCAGGAGGCGAGTGTGAATGAAGAGCCACAGCATGGCAGGGGAGCCACTGCAAGGATGCTGAAACTCATGTGAACAGAGTTGCTGTAGGTAGGCCACCATGGAACCTTGTGGGGGAAGCACTGCCTCTTAGGTATGGCAGTGAAAATGGGACAAGAGGGCAGCATTGCCCCCAGATGGAAGATGTAGTGCTTTGCCTTGCTCCTTGGTGCATGGAGAGGGAAAGGGATGCTGCTATGAAGTTCCTGGCTGGACTTTGGCTTGATAAGGCATGAGAACCTTTGGGAGTATGAGGGTAGGTGGGTGTGTGCACATCTTCCATAAGAAGCTGTTAGTATTGGGGCAGACGTTTCAAGTATGGCAGACAAAGGATGTTCTGCATGGGGAAATGTGGTGACACCCGTTTCACAAGGACAGCTCACATAGGTGAGTGTTCAGGAAGGACCGGCACCATACCCAGTGCCTGATGTGTATCATCTCATTGAGTCCTTGCCTCAGATGCAAAAGGAAGCCATCACCACCATCATCATCACCACCATCATCCTCCTCCTCCTGTGCAGATGGAGAGGCTGAGGCATAGCGAGGTGACGGAGTCTGCCCAGGGCTGCAGGCCAGCTGGTGGCACAGCCGGGTTCCAATGGAATGAAGGTTGTCATCCTCAGATGGCAGGGTAGGCAGGTGGCTAGAGCTCACTTGGGAGAAGGGGAAAGGACACTGACTTTGGCTAGGGATGGAGCAGGGCTTGGGCTGGCTTTCCATGCACAGGCAGCTGGCGAGGCTCATGGCTGTGCTCCAGACCCGGGTGTGGACAATGAATCTTCCAGGTCTACCCTAGGCAATGGGTTTGGACAGCACTGCGATGGAGAGAAGACACTCTGTCCTGCAGTCTGTGACCAACGATGTGACCGTGGGAATGGCGCTGGCGTCTGGCTACCACTCTGGGACGGGTGGCCACCTGCCATCTGGCCCCGGGATGGGACCACCATGCGACTTCTCCCCTCGCTCCTCCAGGTCATGTCCAGAGCCCCAGGACGACCAGCAAAGCCTCTTGAGCCAGTGGCAGCTCACGTTCTGCCTTGCTGGCTACTCTTCTCCTGGGCAACGTTGGCTGCTTGCTGTGGCTCTCCCCGGTGCTGGGTGCCTGGCCTGGGCAGCTGGGCTCAGCTTGGACCCAGGCAGCAGTCACAGAGGGGCCCATAGGGGCGACAGAGTCGCTTCTGTGATGATGAACGGGCGGCTGTGACATGAGGGAGGCGACCACTCCTTAGTTTCCAAGTGCTGGGATCAGGGCCAGGGTCAGCAAAGTCCCTCCCATATTTAAAGAGCAGGTTTGGGCTTGTCCCAGGAGGACGAAGTCAGGAGCCCGTACTGGGACGTGCCTCCGCCAAAGTTCTGCCTGGACCCCAACCTCTGCCAACGGCCCCGCTCCTCAGCTACCCCAGCTTGCTCCTGGGTTCCACAGTGGAGTCAGATGTTTCTGGGCACTTTCACCTTTATGCCTTAAATGCATGTTGAGGCCTTTAAGGAATGGTGGAGAAATAGGGTTGTGGGCAAAGGCAAGTGACAACCGGAAACGATGATCCGGCAAAGGCTGCTGACACCTGGGCCCCAGGGGCGTGAGTTCATCCTTCTGCCTGGACTTTGGTGGGAGGGGCAGACTCTATGGTCTGAGACACAAAAGAACCCAAAACATACGTGTGTACAGACACACAGCAGAGGCACACACACACGTGTGCCCATGCACACACTCACAGGAGGCCCGTGGACTCTGCACAGGGAAGAAACTCCTCTGGTTGACAGTGGACGGCGCTGCAGCAGGGTCCCACCCCAAGCCCTGCCTGACTCCCATTGCCCACCTGGCCCCGGCTTGATAGGCTCACCTCATGCTGTGGCCGGGGCCTCTTGCTTCCTGCAACCCTTTGCTGGCCTGGGGCCTGGGCCTCTCCTGGGCTGTCCTAGGGTTTGTAACTCTGGGCCCGTGCCGGCATGCACAGAGCATCTCTCCCTGGGAGGCTCAGGGCTGCCTCCTCGAGCTCTGTGGGCCTGCACTGGCCAGGGAGCCTGTGGTGTGGGTCTTCAGGCTGCATCCTTCTACCTCCTGAGCACAGGGGTGCCAGGCGCCCTGCAGTTGCCTCCTCGGCCATCCTGTGGGTTCCCTAGGCCTTGCCCTCACTTCAGTGCCCAGGTGCTCAGGCTGTGCCTAGGTGCCAGGCGAAGGTGTGAGCATAAGCCTATCAGATACACCTGGCAGGCGTATACCAGGTGTCCCATCCCTGCCACCACAGGACCTCCCGATAGGCAACCACCGTGGACCTGTGAGGACCAATGAGGAAAAGGAGAGGCAGCTCTGGGCCAGGTTCACAGGAACTCCAGCATAGCAGATCCTGCCCCAGCAGGCCCCCTTGTCCTTCCTGGGCCCTTGTCCTTCATGAAGAGCTAGCCAATTCCTGGTGGGGCTCCCATCCCCCTTCTCAGTGGGCTCTGTGCTTGCCTCGTCGGAGTCACCTCTCAGGCAGTCCCGGGATCCTCTCCTTTAGACCCACAGTGCCTTCCTGGCCGCCTGGGCTTGTGCTGGGGGCAGAAGAACTGCCTCCCCAGGTCTGTCTCTGGAGGCTCTGAGGGAGATGGGCTTGGGGGGCTCTAGGAGGAGGCGGGGATTCCAGGGTGTCAGGAAGGCAGGTGTGCCGGGTCCCACCCAGTGAAGTAATAAACCGTGGGTGGTGACAGTGACCCGGTGCCCTCACTGCCCAGCCCTGCCGGTCCTCAGCCAGCGCTGCAGGGATCCCAGGCCCAGACTCTGTGGGCCTTCACTGATCCCGGCCACCCCAGGAAGGCTGCAGCCTGCGGGCACCAGCCAGGCCACATGCTCAGCGCCAGCCAGGGCCCACTGCCCATCCTGCACATGGGGCTGCTGGGCAGGTGCCTCTCACACCCCCGGGATATCAGTGCTCACCTCAAGCAAAGCACCCCAGCACAGCTTTGGGAGGCAGTCATGCCCTGGGGGACGATGGAGAGCAGTCCAAGCCAGAGAGAGGGAGGGAGGAAGAGAGGGAGAGGGACAGAGACAGACAGAGAAAGAGAGAGAGAGAAAAGGTGTCAGCTGTAAGGCTGCCTTAGAGGAGGTGGGCATGGCCTGCACCTCACCAAGCCTAGCCACTCTCATGGCTCTGAGTGGCTCACAGGCTTGTGAGGACCCCGTCACTGCCTGTTGAGTCCCCCCCAACGGCTCCTTCTAGGAATATGCCGTGGCTGCTCTGACAATTTGCACAGCCCAGTGGCTTAAACACCACACATTTATACCACAGGTCCGGATGAATCCTACAGGGCCAAGATCTAGGTGTGCTGGAGGCCGTGCTCCCTCAAGGCTTGTGGGGAGAACCTTCCCTGCCTCCTCCAGTCTCTGCATCCCTGAGCTCTCGGCTCCTCCGCCATCTTCAGGCCCAGGGAGTAGCGTCTGCTTGCTCGGCCTCTGCCTCTGCTTCCGACCTCACCTGGCTTCTGTCTGTGTCCGTCTCCCTCTGCCATCCTCCTAGGACACTTGTGATTACATTAGGGCTCACCCCTTTAACCCAGGAGCCCCTCTCCACTTCATTATTTTCAGCTAACTTGCTTCTGCAAAGACCCCCTTTCCCAATAAGGGCACACATTCACTGGTTCCAGGGCTGAGGACCTCGCTCCAAGTCTCTCCACCTATGATGCTGTGCCTTCCAGAAACCTGTCCTTGGCAGCTCGGTCTTGACCCCAAACCTGCTGGTGACTTGGATATCACAGGGTTATCCCCTCGGGCTGTGTGCAGCACGATGCAATTTCTGGGCCTGAATGTCATGCTCCCCGGTGCAGGACCTTGAGCCTGCAGCACACACCAAGCCACCTGCAGCCTCACAGGCAATGCCCTGGGTAGACAGGGAGGGGCCCAGCCCCAGCTCGGGTCCTGTAGTCTACCTGGCTATTCTCCCGAGATACCTACGTTTCTACCCTCCTGCCCTCTCCGGGCACATCTGCAGCCCCTGGGTTGCCACGTGAGGAAGGGGTGGGGTGGGGCGGGGCTGAGGGTGAGGCGGAGCTCAGGGTATGGATGTGGCCTGGCTGAGGGGTGTGTGGCTGAAGGCGTGGATGGGGTGTGGCTGAGGGCGTGGTGGGGCGTGGATGAGGGTGTGGCTTGCGTGTGGTTGTGCGGTGGTGTGGTTGTGGGGTGGCGTGGTTGTGCGGTGGCGTGGTTGTGCGGTGGCGTGTGGTTGTGGGGTGGCGTGTGGTTGTGGGGTGGCGTGTGGTTGTGGGGTGGCGTGTGGTTGTGCGGTGGTGTGTGGTGTGTGGTGGTGTGGTTGTCTGCGGTGGCGTGTGGTTGTGGGGTGGCGTGGTTGTGCGGTGGCGTGTGGTTGTGGGGTGGCGTGTGGTTGTGCGGTGGTGTGTGGTTGTGTGGTGGTGTGGTTGTGCGGTGGCGTGTGGTTGTGGGGTGGGCGTGGTTGTGGGGTGGCGATGTGGTTGTGCGGTGGCGTGTGGTTGTGCGGTGGCGTGTGGTTGTGCGGTGGCGTGTGGTTGTGCGGTGGCGTGTGGTTGTGGGGTGGCGTGGTTGTGCGGTGGCGTGTGGTTGTGGGGTGGCGTGTGGTTGTGCGGTGGCGTGTGGTTGTGGGGTGGTGTGGTTGTGGGGTGGTGTGTGGTTGTGCGGTGGTGTGTGTGGTTGTGCGGTGGTGGTGTGTGGTTGTGCGGTGGTGTGTGGATTGTGCTGTGGTGTGTGGCTGTGAGGTGGTGTGGCTGAGGCATGGCTGGGGTGGCTGTGCGGGTCAGGTGTGGTTGTGCGGTGGTGTGTGGTTGTGCTGTGGTGTGTGGCTGTGAGGGGTGGTGTGGCTGAGGGCATGGCTGGGGTGTGGCTGTGCGGGTCAGTGATGGGGATGGGATTGAGGGTGGGGCTTGGCTGAGGGTTGAGTGGGGCAGGACGGGGGCAGGGCTGAAGGCAGGGTGGGGTGGGGCTTGGGGCGGGACTGGGGAGGCAGAGGGAGCTGAAGCTACCTGAGTCCAGATGCCTACAGTTGGCTGCTGCCCTGCCCACCCACTCAGATGCTCCTTTCTGCCCCCCAGTTCCTGGAGCCCAGGGACGGGATGGTGAGAGGCACATAATCCCTTCCCATCCGGGATTCCTCTGGGCCTTGACTGGGTGCGGGACTCCGGCAGGCCCCCTCTGCTCTCACGTGGTGACTGGCTGGCAGACGCACAGCACTCCTTGCAGTCATCACTGAGGTCTTCAGTGGTAGACGCCCTGCAGTGCCGCCTATGTTCCAGACTCTGCTGGTTCCGTGGGATCTGCTGGACCACGGGGCCAAGGGATCAGCTTGTGTGTCGAGGGCCCTGGCCTTGCTCTGGCCCCCAGAACATGGGCTGCCCAGGGGCAGTGGCCATGGCCTCCCAGCTGCACAGAGGCCTGGATGTCTGGTGTGCGGGCCCAGGCACGCCCCCACCTCCACTCTCCATGCTGGCCCACACCTCGGTCCCTGGCTGTCCAGATGAAGCAGCAGAGTGATGCCACAGCCCATCCCGGTGACACGCTCACCCTCAACCCCCATATCCGGGACCCTGGTCTTGTGTGGTCCCTGATGTGGAGTCCTCAAGATACACCCAGAAAGTCCTGGCCGTGAAGTAGGGGTGCAGAGTCCTGCAGAGCCACTGGGCTGGGCTGGTGCCCCCAGGAGATGGAAGCCCTGCTGGATGCCCTCCTCCCTCAGAGCTGGGGCAGCTCAGTGTGCACCTCCCCCACATCCATCCTCTCTGCCGGCCCTGGGTGTCTGAGCAGTCGTTCTCTGCCAGCACCTCCGCAGCCTGAGAGGCCTCAGGTTTGCTGTGAGGGAGCTCCCTGGCCTGTGGAGGTGGAGTAAGCTCTGTCAAGGCAGCTT